ATTTTATTTTATATTATATTATATTATATTATATTATATTATATTATATTATATTATATTATATCATATAATGTAATACTTTCTTGTACTGTATCATATCATACTGGTTTGTATGTATTTTGCGCAATGATATTATATATATATATATATGTTGGGCCTTGGCGCCTTAGGACCTCTCAGAGAATTGCGGAGTGCTGTTGATTTCGTTCCAGTTGGTGGTTTTCTGATGTTGCAGTAAGGTTCCCTTCCTTTTGGCACTGGTTTTGTCCTTGAGCATTATACAATCATGCCTGCTGCTTGATTCCAGAAGATGTGCGCAGACATTTTCCGCACGCAGCAGAGCTACACCGATTTGGCAGCCTCCATCGTTGGCTTGAATATGGCCGAAAGACATGTGTTGAGTCGTCAGTTGTACTAGACTCGACTTTGCCCCAGCTTGTTTGCAGATCTCCTTCGAGAGCAGCGGGGTCTTCTCCTCCTTCGACTCATTTGCCTCTTGCTCGAGTGGATTTCTCGCTGGTAGCTTTCATCCAGACAGCCTCCTGCTCAAGGCACTCTTCGAGAGCACCGAGCTTGGATTCAACCTTGAGCTTCGGTCCCTCTTGGGAGGTTGCAGACGGCTCTAAAATCCGACTCTGGGTCGAGGTCTGACCATCCTCTTCATATGGCTGCAGGTTCCGCTTGGGGCTCAGGGCATGAATCCCCCAAGAAAGGGGCTGCAAAGGTGCAAACCCTGAGGTCGCTAATCATCTACGTCATGGCTGCGTTCATGCTTGGCACCCTCTCCAAGGTCTATTCCAGTGTGCGAAGCTCAGGCGCACGAGCTTCGTCTGCCTGCCAGTAGACGCGGACGTTGTTGTAAGGTGATGCACCAAGAAGGCGGTCTCATCGGCACCACAGCAGGCACGCCGAGATGAGACGGCATCCGTGGACTTGTGGATTTTCGATGCACGTTAGCCGATGGCTTCGCAGGCATTGCGGCGCGTCTGCTGAATTGTTCCCTCCTTGGAGTGTCTGCCTCCAACCTCTTGGTTGATGTGGCAGCTATTAGGTTTCAACATGCCTTGCAATGTGAGCATGTTACCGGATCTACTGCCGCCGCCAGTGTTAGTTGCATATGCTTAGCTCGCAAGCAAGCATCACCAAGATGCCGTAGCAGGCACGTCAGGCCCCTGTTGGCTCGGCCGTCGAGCGGGTAGATGTCGTCGTACGAACACGAAGGCAAAGACTAAGAATAACACTACGGCGTGACTTAGACTAAGACTCAGCCTCATACTCATACGTGTACTCATACTCGTCATGCTCATATCCATATTTAGGTTTCAGCTTTCCAGAAAAGATGGCGAAGCTCGCTGAATGACGTGGCGCCTGGGAGATTTCTGGGGCCTTTGGCCGTCTCAGGTGAAACGCTATGTGCTCCTTGGTCAGTCTTAGGGTTCAGGGTTTTAAGGTTCCGCGTTTCGGGTTTAGGGGTCTTGCTTAAGGGTTCTCTAGGGCAGTAGAGGGTCCCGCAGGTGTTGTAAGTGGTGTGGGGCTTTAGGTTTGTTGGTGTCCTTCTGATTTTTGGTGGTAAGGACTTCCAAATAATAGGGTAGCTCTCTAAATTAGGGTCCCGTTTTAGATCCCCAATATAGTACGGCACCCGTATAAAAGGGACCCCAAAAGGGACCCTAATTTAAAGAACTACCCAATAGAAAACGGATCTCATCAACACAATGTTTTAATATAATATAATATAATAGAAAAGAATATAATATAATAGAAAAGAATATAATATAATAGAAAAGAATATAATATAATAGAAAAGAATATAATATAATAGAAAAGAATATAATATAATATAATATAATATAATATAATATAATATAATATAATATAATAAGTCTTTCCTTCCTGACGGTGCCTGACAACGACCCAGGCTCGTTCTCGGGAGGATGGAGATCCTCGCTGCTTCCTGCGGTGTTGCCCTGGTTATGATGACCGTAACATACTATGCAACTTGACGGAGGTTCATGATCACCCCTAGTCTACTAGTACACCGGTTGAAGGTGAACCACTCGCTGCGTTGCGGAGTTCAGGCTTTGTTTTGGTGTCAGTTTGCTTTATCGGACTTCGTCCATTGACCCAAGGTTGCCATTTTTGCCAGAAGATATGTGCACACAGACCCTGCCAGCTATGCTCAGAACATGTCGGAGATTCTTTGCACGACAGCCGGCGGCACTTTGATCCTTCCGAAAGTCCTGCCCGGCAAAATCTAAACTCTTAGGGGCTTTGGGGTACCGAGTCCAAAAGCCGAAGCCCGACACCCACGGCAAGATGAAACTGCCTCCAGGATCGGGTTGCATCCTTGGTGTATCAGCTACATCCTAAACCCTAAACCCTAAACCAGGATCGGGTATGCATCCTTGGTGTATCAGCTACATTGGCCTGCGCACTTCGCGGCGAGCATCAGCTGCCTTTCCCTGCAGCTCGGTCTCGCGACCTGGCCTGGAAACTGCCGAGAACGGGGGTCCCGGGGGTCCTGCTGCAGAAGTTTCCTCGAACCCTTGCAGCCGTCTTTGGCTCTAGGTTGGGCTTAGACTTGACTCTGGCATGTACGGTATTGATATGAGGTTTCGAAACATAGCATCAACACATGAACACAACAAGCCGCCGGATGTTCCACTGGTCTTAAAGTTTGAAACCCAAAAACCCTGAAAGCCCCAGGAGTTCCCGACAACACCGTTAACCCCAATCACCTCCAGGCCTACAACAATCCTCATCAATAATCCTCTTTACCCTAAACCCAAAACCCTAAACCCTTAACCCTATAAACCCTAAACCCTAAACCCTATAAACCCTAAACCCTATAAACCCTAAACCCTGTAAACCCTATAATTAGGACTTCGGAGCCCCCTTGAGGTGAGCAGCGGCCTGGAACTGCTGGGCTTCCTTGTGCACCCTCACCCCTACGAAGCTTGGCTTAGGGTTTGGGGTTTAGGGTTTAGGGTTTAGGGTGTAGGGTTTAGGGTTTAGGGGTTTAGGGTTTCGGGTGTAGGGTGGGGGCTGTGCTGACGTGTTGCGATTTATGTTAATCGATCATTGCTGGGGTAGTCCTCTTGCAGCGCCTATCCGGGTTGGGGCTTACTAGGCTGATAACAGGGACTTAGCCTAGGTCTCGAAGATGACGAGCGAAAGTGCACAGCGTTGGCAGGTTGTGTTTGCTTGATGCACTGGTCTGCGATTCTGGTATCGTCAACAGCTGCTGAGGATTGCTATGTGCCGGACCGGGGCGTGCTGGGCGGAACGGTGCTTTTCTTGACATTGACAGCCTCGCAGGCAGCGCTCGCCTGCACACCCAGCAGAGCTGTCAGCTGTTGTTTGCATGTAGGTGGTGTTGACGCTCTGGGCATCTGTGCAGCTGCAGCGCTGGAGGAAAGTCGCGGGCTCAGTCTAGAATCGTTGGCATGTGTTTGAGCTGTAGTGCTTTGCGGTCAGGAGTGCACTTGGAACTAGTTTGATGTGCTCTGGCTGAAGGTAGCTTCAGCAGATGATTCTCAAGAAATGCCGCGGCTCGCCGGGGATGTTTGCATCTCATGAGCACGATACCCGTCTGGACCGTCCTTATATTGCTTCGAGGTGGCGCATGGTATTTCTGATGGTGGGCATCCTGTTTGGGCTCTCGATGTTGAGCAAGGGAGCGACCTTGCCGAGTTCATGCTGGTCGGGAGTCGGGAGATATTGAGACCGGAAGGGATCGACGGGTCACGGCAGGCTGAGTTGTTTATCCCTCGCCAGCAAGTAAGGATTGTGGTTCGCCTCTGGGCGACGCAGTTTGGTCGGCTGCTTATGCAATCGATGACATTGTCATGGTTCCTCAGCATCTCGCCCTTAGTCAGTATAGACGGGCATTCCTCGCGCGACTCTCTGTGCTGCCCGAGCCAAGAAGCTCATGTGCAGATGCTTTGATACTTGCCAAGGATTTGGCTGGTGGCAAAGCGGAAGGAGGCCCTTCGGTGCACATGAGAGAAGGACTCCCCTTAATTAAAGCTGCCTCCGCGACTGCCAGGGAGTTCTTTGATCAGTCGGCTTGAAGATTCAGCAACATCGGCCCCTTGAGGTTCCCATGCCCCTGGCTACGCTGGTTCTCTTCACTTGGAGACTTGGCCCAGAATTCTTGTGGTCGTACGAACCAGGTGAGGGCGCAGTAGCTCGGCGTAGCTTGTTGACATAATGTGATCTCCGATGAGGCTGGCCACGTTGATTGAGCTGTTGGCTGACTTCATTGGCATGCAGTCCAAGCTGCTAGCAGGCTCCCAGCACCTCAGCCAAGATCTGAGTTATTTGTGCGTAAACGGCATACACATGCATGCACACACACACATACATACATACATACATACATACATACATACATACATACATACATACATACATACATATTCGGTGCGGCATGTTTAGGGTTGCCCTCCGAGGTTCGCAAGCAACTGCTTCATGTATGCCTGGAACGACTTCTTGTCACTGGTGGCGCTCTCAGTTTGAATTCGTGCTCGCCTGGCTAGTCCTCAACCGAGATTTTACACCAATGGGACGTGAAAGCATGTTGAAAAAGTTCGCAAGAGTCGCGAAGCTCATACTCGAGGTCTTGCAATGGCTAAGCCATGCTTACGCCTGAAATGCATGGTATAGCTTAATCAGACTTAATCATAGCGATTGGTGATGATATCCCCCAATAGTAGCCTCTATGACTACACTTTAATTTTAAGTCCCCCAAACCACATTCCAGAAATCCAACATTGAGGCATTCAGGCTCCCATATTTATTTTGATGCCTGAGGCAATCTCCGCAGATTTCGCCTACTGGTATGCTGCTTGTCTCTGAAATCAAGCAGCTGCTTTTTGTTTTTTGGGTTTAGGGGGGAGTCTCCTGACCTGGAAGCAAGGTGTACTCCCTCATGTGCTATGATTCCGGCGTCAACCTACTCAAGCTGCCAGTGTGACCTTTCGGAGCTTCAGCTTCTACATGACTAGTCCGAGCTCTCGGTCCACGCCGTGCAGACGTGTACATGGTCAGGGTTGGCAGCCGCCAGAAGCCTTCCTCTTCCTGGCTTTTGGGACCAGATGCACAGGCAACGGATTGCCCGGACAGCTGCGTGATGCCGCGGCCCGTCTGTTCAGATTCACACGAAGCCCATTGCAGACAACGGCGTGCTGGTCTACTTGTACAACAACTCTGCTCAAGAATCCATCGCCGAAGGTTTGCCGGCTGAGTGAGGGAGCCATGCAGCAGTCCTGCGCAGAACACCGCCAAGCACTGGTGCTGATTTTTGTCAGCATAAAACCGCATGTGATGCGTTGTTTCGCTGCTCTTCGGCGTATCTAAAAAAGAGAGTCTCCTACTTGTACGGCTCCTCACGCCATTCATGTTGGCGCCTCGCAACTCGTAATATGGACGCTCGGATCCTAAATTCTGTGAATGCACTCTCCCACCTGCTGAGATAGCTCAACGTACAACGACCTGCGTGATGACCAGGTGCGGGGTGCAGTTTGCGCATGTCAGCAGCGCATTAACTGGTGTGGCGGCTCTAAGTACGATCATTCTCGCATCATTGTTTTGTTGAGGTTGCGTGGCTTTTCAGCCATGTTCTGAAGGCATACAATGCAATTAGGCTGTAGAGCCTATCGAACCGCCTGTTCCCCCTCTCCATCGGCTTTAACCTCAGGCCTCTACTCCAGGCTAAGCTACTGGTAGCATCAGCAGCGGGGTTTATCATCACAGGCGTCGTGCCTCCGGGTCCCAGCTAGAACCATCGAACTGAGGCAGGAGCACTGTCTAACAAGCCCGGGGGTCAAACTATGCAGCAGCATCTTCTGTGTTGCTTGTCTATTGGAGCCTATGTCTGGATGCAGCAACCCCTTTGATCATTTGGGTTGCTTGAGCGTTCAGAGACTTCCACTAGGCGTCTAGCTCCTCTTAAGCTGCAATATTCCTGCGAACGCTTGCTGCTCGCGTCTACAAAGCCTCCAAACGAGTGAAGTCCAGAGGGGCGAAAGTGCTGTACCTCTCGACAGCATGCCGTGATTTCTTGACAGGGTGTGACGAAGCAGCGAATGGCAGTCACCCAAGATGTCTTCCCTTGAAGCCTTGTTAGATCATCAACATGCTCTCATGTGCTTGATGTTCTAAGTTGCGGCGCTTCAACTACATCCTGGCGCACGAAGAAGACTTGGACGCAAACGAGCGTGAAAAGCCTTCCCCTCGGCAAGATGGTGCTGTCGCCTTGCATGTGGCTGCAAGACGGCCTTTGCTTCAGGTTCGTGGATTTCGTCTACAAAAGCATCCTGTCAACCGTGTCTTGGCAACTTGAAGCGAGCCGAGCCTTCCTGCAGCCGGAAGCTGGGAGTCCCTTCTCGACCTCGCACCTTGCCAGGGTGGCATGGATGCGAAGACATCCCACTGCGACATGCTCTCTTTCTGCCGATGGCTTGGTGGGGCGACAGGTTGCCAAAATGCGAGAGTGCGGGGGGGGGGGGGGGGGGCAGATGTCCGCTGCAAGGTGTTGGTCTTCATTTCAGGGTCATGAAGTCCTGGGTGTTTCGCCAGGTTTAGTGCATCTCATGGGTGTGTCTGAACTGGTGGCCTTTAGCCTATGAGACTCGTGTGAGAGCAGGTCTCAATGGAATGAACAATGCCGCTGTGGTTGGTAACTGATGCTAGCGCAGGAGTGATGAATTGCAGCTGCAAGCACTTCAGACACATGTATGGATGGAATAGTCCACACGCCCGAAAGTCTGCACTCCAACCTGGCAGCAGACTCGCTCGCTCAACTTCAGGGTCAACCCCAACACCCAAACTCTACCTCTTGAAACCATACTGCGTCCCTTTACCCTATACTGAAGTCTTGCTTACTACCAAGTAGCATCTAAAGGTAAACTTTGGACTTATAAAGTGTGCGTGTGTGTGTGTATCATGACAAGCATGGCTATCGATGTACCATACCTGTTTTCCTCGGCTTTTTGAACTGCACAGTGTGCTATCGTTGCTGTTGCTGCGGCAGCCCTAAACACTAAGACCTTAGAGCCCCATAGACTCAAACTCCAAGCGCCACAACCCTATACGAAGCCGTCGTTACGGCTTCAAACGGTGCTAGTAGCAGTTGTAGTCGTCGTCGTCGTAGTGGTAGTAGTATTCTTATTATTAGTAGTAGTAGTAGTAGTAGGAGTCGTCGTCGCCTAAACCCTGATCCGCAAAACAGTATCAAGAGCCCTCACCCGAGGCACGGCCTGCGCCAGTGGTGAGCCTCTGAGCTTCGAGGAGGGGCGGGGGGAGGGGGAGAGAGGGCTTCTTCTTAGCAGGGTTTCAGGCTTTATCGATTATAGTGTAGGGTATGTTGGGTTCAGAGTCGGGGGGTTTCTCGCCCGAATTTCGGTTTTTCAGGTGGAGAGTTCGGGCAGCTTCGAAAATCCTGGCTCAAAGGTACTTCGGTTAATATAAGTGGTAGGGTTTAGCCATGCACAGCAGCGGTACGGCAACTATGCTTGCAGGGTCGGGCCTGTAGATGAAGAGGCTTAGCGGTCAGAACGACATGACACTTAGCTTCATACATGCCGGAAGCAACTCGCGAATGCATCTAAAACCTGGATAGTGTCTTGGTTTCGATGGTCGTGAAACGAGCCATCATGATTAGGTTCACAATGGTTCGTAAGGACGACAGGGAACAGGCTCGCGACACTCGGCCTAAAGAGGGAGGTGACCGATGAAGACCATGATGTTGACGCTAGCAATGTCAGCGAGTGTATCCAGACTTTGATATTCATGGTGATGACGCTGGCTACGGTGATGAGGAGGGGCGAGCAGCAGACTTATGACAAGTTTTGACGTAAAGTGGCGCAGACTGCGTGCCATCTTACGGAGCGCTTAAAGATGTCGCCCCACGCACCAGATCCTGCAAGCCTTCTTCAATCGCAAGAAGAGGGTCGGCCTTGTCAGGAGCTCACACATGCATGTGTATTCAGTAGCCCTCTCGTTGCCGTCGCATTTCACACTGCGAGCGCGAGATTCCTGCGCGTTGAGAGCTGCTTCGAGGTCGAAAGGGTCTTCCAGGATCGAAGCATCTCCGTCAGAAGCTGACAGCCGATGATCGTTCCTTGGGGCTGGGAGTCCTGCACCTGTCGACTACCAAGGCCATTCAGAGTGTCACAGAGTCTCAGCTCAACATCAAGGATGCAGGCAGCTTGAACATGCTCAGCGTCTTGATCAACACCTGCACACGGGCTATGCGAGACCTCATTCAGTCTCAACTGCAGGTAACTACTGTGCCGCAAGCGTATTTGCTTGGGCGTTGCTCAAGGATCATATTGGTCGCATGCCGACTCAGCCTCCCAGGCATTGTAAACGCAAACCAATAACGCGATGCGAAAGCGTGACTCACTCTGCAATTTGCCCCTGTGAGACACTCAATAGGTGGCATTATGCAGCAATTAATCTCCTTGTTTTGGAGTAGAGGCCCCAGTAATGTTGCCACGCCCTTGCTTCTCGGTATGCCAAGAAAACTTGGCATGCAGGCGACGACGAACCCCTGAAGGACAGACAAGGGGGTCCTTGCGGTGTTGACTCTCAACTTGTGTGCGACAGATAATGACTGCGGTCGACAGCCCTACAGGTTTGAACCCTGCAAATCTCAGACCCATCCAGACCCTAGACTTTGGTCAGGATGCGGCTGCACCATTTGGTGGCCCTGCAAGTGCTCGAACTCAGTTTGATTTTCTCAATTTTGCTCAGCGTTTGCCATCCTTATTGTAAGGACCCCAGAAGAAGGTACGCCTAATTTTGGGAAACTCCCAGATGGCTTCACTTCTGCGAGTGTCACACGTGAGCAAGGCCAGTCGGGCAGCGGGTGGCGAGCTTAGTCTTTCTCAGCGTGCGGGTGTTGGAACCTTTTGCTCATCCTTCAGTTTTTTTTGTTTGCGGCAGCAGTCAGTCGTGGAGACAGAAGCCAAAGATAGCAGTCAAGAGCAGAAGTATCTCCCTCACCCCACCACCCGCTCTGTGTCACAGATTTTCCGGCAAGCTTCCACGGCAGGTGCAATCCATAAATAGTCCACTGCGGTCGTCGCAGCAGAAGCTGCTTTGCTACTCTATCTTTCAATTTTATGGGGACGTGAGGAGGCATGCATAACTAAACCCTAAACCCTAAACCCTAACCCTAAACCCTATCCTTTGTAATCGGGCCTGGTCGTGCACTGCGTCGCCATGACTATGAGGTCTCGGCTCGGGGAAATCTTCGCCGAAAACACCAGAATGCAAGAGCGTGCTTTCCTGAGCTTCACCCGGTCCTCTGTTTGAGCGAGCGACTCTTGTAGAAGAGTTGTATGTGTGTATACATTCTGATATATATATATATACATAATACATATACATATACATATATATATATATAATATACACATACAGATATGCATATGTAAGCCACTCTTTTGTATCACTGTTACGACTTTCACCATTGAGGCTGTGCCGAAGTCACGGAGAGCTTGAAAGAGACATTGAAAGCGGACTGGCTCTCAGCTTTTCAATAGTTTAGTGTGTAGGGCGAGGGTTTAGGGGTTTAGGGTTTAGGCGTCTTTTTGAACCGTGAATGTTGAATCATGATACATGGGCAGTTCTCTGAATTAGGTTTCCTTTTATAAGGGTGCCGTACTATTAAAGGGACCTAAAAAGAGACCCTAATTTAGAGAACTACCCCTTTGCAAATGTGATCCGCAGGTCATTGCAAACCATGCTCGTGGTGATTCAACTTTGTTTGAGAGCATGTCTGCTTGATTGTAGTTTAGGGTTTAGGGTTCTGGCCTAGGTTTTTCATGTAAGATTTTATGTATGAAAGCCTGCGATTGTAAATGCTTAAATGGTTGCATCGAGTGCTGATGTGGACTATGACTATGCGCATATACTTGGTCATTCCCCAACCGTCTTGTTTCCTGACACCGTGGGTTTAGGGTTTAGGGACCGACCCCTGTAGCAACATGTGTTGTATGACATGCAGACACGCACCGCGCTGGCTCCTAATTACAGGATACAACTGATATTTGTTCGACCAATCTCGTCTGAACAGCACTGGCACAAAACACATGAAGGTCCTGTCCTAACACCAAGTATTTTTATAATTTTGATATTACCTTGTGAGTACCGCATTTGTCATGTTGATCTTACGTTGAAGTTATTGTTTTAATCTCCTAGGCTGCATTATCTATTACAGCTAATTGCTTTCATTTCAGAGAGATCTGCAACCTTCCGGTCAAACGCGAACTTGTGGAGCTCTAAAGATGACCTACAAAACAACATTGGTTAACTCAATAACAAGCCAACCCTTCCTTGGAACTCGGGGGTGTCGGATTCCGCGGCTTCCCTCGAGAGGAAGATCTTGGCCCAAGGCATCCTCCGTGACTGAAGAGGATGCGACCACCAGACTGGAGATCTACCGCCACGAGGCCTGGGTTTAACGAAGGTGCCTTAATGGTAATTAGAACAGGGTTCCTGATATAGTTCCATAAACTGCACGGAGGAGCCCCTAAGGAATAGTAGGGATACTTCTACTCGTGGTTGTGTTTTGGGGCTTGGGGTGCTGGGTTCAGGGCGAGATCGGTCTGACGTGCTCGGCTCTGCCATCGCTGGACCGCTGCAGGTTCAGAGGATCGGAAAATCAACCAAGATGTCAGCGTCAACCTGTGCGAGTTTACCGGACTTTGGAATCTTGTCTTTTGCCTGCGTGCTTGCTGTGTATGAGCAAGATGCCACTGCTGCCAGGCAGACTCTGGCGGCACGGGCCCTGGAATCGTGAGGGATTGAATTCGACATGACCATCATACGTATTTACATTGATACATCATTGCGGCCTTGACTGAAGCAGATGTGCGACATGCAAGATACGGTCTTGGAAATTGCTGGTTCGGCTTATTGATCCGCACAACTCCCTAGACCATCCTAGACCTTGCATATACACGACTCCACACCCTACGTTAGCCAGGCCTGAAGCCTCATGCTGTTCAAAAATCCTAAGCCCCATACGCGAAAGCCCTACCCGACCCACGAGCCCTCAGCAGCGCTTGGTGCAGCCTCAAGGACGGAAGCGTGTACGAAGGGGAGTGGGTTGGTCCTGTCAGGCAGGCTCTGGCTCTTTACAGCCTTAGAGTCCTAAGGTGCTGAGAGCTTGAAGTCAAAGTGCACACCTCTGAATTGCTTCGCGAAGGTGTGCAATGGACCGCAGACCCTCTCAGTTAGTTGTTGGCTCTTGCATGTCTTTGGAGGCACGGCAGAGGCGTGCTGAAGCTCCCGGACGGCTCATCGTACTCTGGTCAGTTCGAGCATGGTGTCGTCTCAGACTCAGCACAGCACAGGAAAGGAGACGGGCAGACCCAAAGCCATCATGGATTGCAGGTGCATGGCTTCGCGGCATATACCTTACCCACCGGTGCCAAGTACGAGGGTGAGCAGGGAGCTTGGCCTTCATGGCGCAGTCCACATCCTATAGACACTGTATACTCACCCTTGGAGCTCTGAGGTGGCGGCTAGGAAAGCAGGACGGAGAAGGCCGCAAGATGCTTCAGGGAGGAACGGTCGCGAGATCGTGGAAACCTACCTGCGCGACTCTCTTTGCAGGCCGGGAGATAACGGCGGAGGGCGCCATCTACCAAGGCCTGGCTATCTTCAGAGCCCTCGCAGTTTCTGGTTTGATTGCATCGCATGGCTCTTGAGGCCAGTACAAAGATGGCAAGAAGGAAGGGCGCGGTGCCAAGCTGCTTTTCTTCTTGGTCATCCTCTTTGTCTGCCGAGCGCTTCGATTCGACTGCCGATTCGTAGAACATTAACTATAGCATTACGAATTTCATAGTTAATTCATCAGAATAGTTATAGCGATGCCAGCAGCAGTGAGACTGATGAGAGTAACGGCACTAACACTAACAATTCTCTCAGTACTTCGTAGAGCATCAGCCGCACTCCATCAGTCGTTTAGGCATGCCAGCATCTCCTATCCGGACGGCTCCAACTTCGAGGGACAGGCGGCGTCCCAGGGGCTGCCCCATCCGCCCTTCGAAGGAGCAGCTGGGAACCCTTTAAGGGTTCCCGTTGATCGGTTCCTATAAGGGTTGCCAACATCCCTGAGGCAAGCCCTATGAGAAGCCCGATGTGTGTGCAGGTTTCTGACGGCAAGCTGCACGGTCTGCACCTGAAGATCTGATGAAATCGAGCACTATCGAAGGAATGGCAGCATGCCGCTAGATTGTCGCAAGGCAAGGGCAAGTACGTGTGGAGCAATGGCCACTGTTACGAAGGCCGGTTAGTTCGCTGTTCTTCGCTGCTTCTCAGCGTATGCCATGTTCTCCTGTCAGTGCCGCAACTTTCCGCATCGCGTATGCCTGAGCCTGTATGTAAAGAAGATCTCTTCGTGGCTGCAGGTGACTGGCAAGATGACATGATGCACGGTGATGGCGTCGCGAGCTGAGACCAGTATGGGATCAACTTGGCTCTTCTGCTTGTTTGCCTTTCCTTCATAGTTGACGGCGTTCCATGCCCAAAACCCGAAACCCTAAACAATTCCCTTAAGGGCATCTCCGGCTTAAACGCTCCGTACGTTTGGGGGCATCTTTAAATTCAAAGACGCAAGACCCATAGCAAGGTGGCAATTTGGGAAACTTTAAAATTTCCCCGTATGGTTTCTATAAAGGTACCTATTCATAAATACTTTTCAGGGCCCCAAATCTACAACCGAGATAGTTTCTATGGCTCGAACTCTGGTATCCCCCCGCACTACTCGCACCGAAACTTCGAGCCAAGCTTATAAGTTAACACCCGAAAGTCTGCAAGCGCAGGAACCTTAAGCCCTAAGGAACCCGAAGAGCCTTAAACTGTGCCTGCTTGAGGTCTACACTTGGCCAACTGGAGTGAAGTTCGTCGGGCAGTATCAGAACAACTTGAAGCATGGTGCCCTTCGCCTCTCACGTCTCAGGGTAGGTGAGGTGTTGGGGTGCTTTGGTCAAGGCGAGGAATCGGATTTAGGTTCAAGGGTTCGGGGTTTAGCTTCTGTCTTGATCCCTACTCGAGTCCATATTTTGGGAGAGTTCTTGTTCAACCACTTGTTGCATTAATCTGCCAGGGAGGGGTCTGGACGAGGATTGGATCAGCAGTCGGGCCTTTGTGTAACTTTAGAAAAGGGAACAAGGCTTCTAGAAGGTTCTATAATTTTCGGTAATCAAGTTACAAGAAGTTGACTAAAGTAAAGTTACACGTAGATCCAGGGTCATCAGGGGACAGTATTCAACTGCTACTTAACCTCCATAGTTCCTCATAGAGACCCAAAACTCCAGCCACACATCCGGATAGCAAAGCGCCAATCCCAATATGTGGGCATGTTCCCTGAGCCTCCAACTTAAGAATCCTGAAGCTACATCCCAAAGCCCAATCCCTAAACCCTAAACCCTAAACCCTGGCCTAAATGTTTCGCTTCTTTCCCTGGTAGAGGTACAGGCGTTGTACACTTTCCCGACGGCCGGATGGTGGAGGGCACGTGCGCCGGACGAGGGCATCGTGAAGATTTGGGGGCCGGGGATATGTGGGGGTTTCCGAAAATAGGGACCCTAATATAGTACTCTAAATAGTAGGATCCTTATTATGAGGAGCCCAAAATAAGGTACCCCATATTTTCGGAAACCCTCATGTCTTCGTATCATCTACGAATGAAGACGTTGGTGACTTCTGCCTAGTCATACGCAAAACACACCATCGGGCATCGCAGTGGAAGGGAGTACTTCGGCGATCCCTAAGATGCCAGAGTGGCCTAGGACTTGCTGCATGTAAACGCAGGTTTGAGGCCCTTGCGAAGCAAGGCTTAGAACAGATCGCTCTACGTCGATGCGCTGGACTTGACAAATCTTGACAATGTTCATCAATGTGCTGGAGCGTAGGCAGACAAGCTTGATTCAGGTACGAGGCAGGCACGCGGCAAAGCACCAGCGGCTGATGAATTTGTGAGAAGCTATGGCAAAGTCATAATTGCGTCTATGTATACTAGAGTTTGGAGTTACAGATGTCTTTTCCCATTTGGCGCAGGACAGTTTTTTGGATTCGGTTAGGCAGTCACGACTACTCCTTCCCAGAGAACATTGCTGGGATCTTAGTCTGCCGGCAGCGAAGTTGCTGGCACAATCAGGGCAGTGTTTCACTCAGCCCATGACAATAGTCATAGGAGCTTCACCTACGAGGAATAGATTCACCATTTACCTCCCAGCACGTGGCGAAGCCCCTTGCCAGCAGCAGCTGCGAAGTTGTACTTAAGGGATCTGCAGCCTTCAGAGCACATACAGAACCCTTGCAGTAACCCTTATATATATATATATATATATAACAACAGCCCTTTTGTGGCCATATCGAAATAGTAGTAAATATGCCTTACATCCTAAACCCCTAAAGCAGACCTTCACCCTCCAACTGAAACCGCCTAAACCCCTAAACCCTAAACCCTATAACCCTAAACACTATAACCCTAAACCCTATAACCCTATAAGCCCTTTGAACCCTAAACCCTATAACCCTATAACCCCCTAAACCCTATAACCCTCTAACCCTAAACCCTGTAACCCTATCACCCCCTTTAACGACAAACCGTCAGTGCTCGACACCTGGGAAGCCTAGGGGAGACCCAGGCTCGGCCCGAGCAGCCTCGCCCCGAGTCTGCCCAAAACAGTCATCTGGGGGTTTGGGGGTTAGGGTTTAGGGTATAGGGTTTAGGGCAGTTTAGGGTTTAGGGTTTAGGCCCAGAACAGTCATCTGGGGGTTTAGGACTTAGGGGTTTCGGGAGTCATCTGGGGGCCTGAACAAATTTGCTGAGCAGGGTTCTGAGGTAGAATAGGCCCGAAACCCTAAGCCCTAAATAGACATATATCACAGTGGTAACATGAATAACCATGAGAAAATCAGGTTTGAAAGGGTATCCTATTATTAACATCTCAGGCCCCGATTCAATGCACGAGACTTTTGCTTCCGAGCGGGGTTCCAAGATTTGGGATTTGGGGCTGAAGTTCGATTATTTGGAAAGGCGAACTGCTCGGCAACTTCGTCGCTGAAGCGCCAGGTGCAGAGTTTAGATTCCCTTTTGCCCTACCTCGCCTGCTCACAATGCTGACATGTGCATTCCTCCAGTGGGCCCTGTGGTCTTTGCTGGTGGCGGAGGAAGCGTGGGCAGAGAAGCAGGATCCAGAGCATCTTGGTTGTCATCTTGGGTATGCATTTATTTAACTGATTATTTGTTTATTTGTTTAGTTTAGTTATTCATCTATTCACATGTTCGTCATTGATTTATGTACCTATCTATCCGTATGTATGTTTAATTGTTTTATCGTTATTGCCGTTGCTCGTCTCCTTCTTCTTCTTTTCCGTCGTCTTTGTTGTTGGGTGGGTGGAGTCTCCCTTGAATTCAACAGCAGCTAGTTCGACATAGTGTTTGTCTTGGTCCTTTCTCAAAGCTCCGTGGCGGTTTACGCATTCCGAAATCTTGAGGCCACAGCCCCTGCAGAAAAAAGGAATAAGCCTAGGGCCTTGGAGTTTCTAATGCGCTGCAGTGCGGAACTTTGATACTCTAAGACAAAAAAGTGCAATCCCCAAACCCTAAACCCTAAACCCTAAAAAGTGCAATCCCCAAAGCCTTCAACAGGTCCTGCTTCCTTCAGCATCGGCCCCTTCCGGGACCGAAAAATCTACCGCCGTTTTAAAGGCGTTTTCGGGACGCCGGATTTTTGACCCAAATCCATGGATTTCCGGCCCCCCGGCTTTAGACCGCGAGCTCGGAGGGTTTGCTCGCGTGTAGGCACCCGCTCCAGCACGTGTCGCGGTATAGTGGCCCACAGCACTCGAGTATTATCCGTGAGCCTTGTGACACTTCCTCCTCTTAGCAAAAGATCCGAAGCAATGACTGTTCCTGCTCCCAAGGCTTTGGGTACCCGGCCGGGCACTTGAAACTCTAAAACCCCACAGAGAACGAGCCACACCGAAAATCCTGCGGTGTTGCGGGCCAGCTGGCAGTGTTGGGACCATTGATCGCTCACTAAAATAAGAGTGGTCAGACGGCCCCAAAGGTGTAGGGCCGAACTGACTCTGCCCCGCGCCGCCTTGTAGAGGTGGGCAGCCAGATCTTCAATAAACACCCTAGAAAGGGTCGCCAAAATGGCCGCGTCCTTGTTACGGAGCTGGAGGCCACGAGCAGTCCAGCCCAGGACTCTGTCTGGGCCACCGGAAGACCGATAACAGTACCTGACTATCAATTTCAGCCCAGCGGAGAGAGGGAGGCTGCAACTTGCGAGGGCCTTGACTTTGTACTGGCGGAGAGCCTGCCAATGTGTTGAGGGTGCGCAGCGACAAATCAACGCCAGGTATATTCCGTTGATGTCGTACTTGCACCAAGAGATCCCTAACCCTTTCACCACCAGCAGAGGCCAGCCATTGCGATTCCCATAAATTGACGAAGACACCTTCCCGTTGAATGAGCGCGAGATCCGGCACTGTGTATCCATAAGATGTGGCACCTGGTTCCAGGAAGTCCGTCATCCACAGTGGCCACGGGGAGACCTTGTGAGCTGGCAGGAGACAGGGCTGGAGGGCATGCTGAACAATGTAGTCGTGCAGGCAATCCGTGTTGCTCAGCCATAGAGCGTGATTTCTGTCCCTGGCGACGCTGTTGTGGCCGGCTACCCATTGCTGTAACTTGCCATACCAATAACGGTGCATTGCTAATGCCCAGCTGGCAAAACATGCTGAGGCTTTTGGCCCCGCCACCAAGCCCACGTTGAGGCGCACTGTCCGTCCTGCAACGATGAATCTCCGCCTGGGGACTCGTTGCGGCGGCAGGAGCTTGATGGGCTCGGTCCCAAAGGCCAGGCCGTCTACCAGCGGCAATGAAGTACCTAACCAGATGTAATCGAGATCTAAAAACAGGCCGCTACCGTGATATATGGCCAGGGCCGCAATCCAGTCTTTAAGAAGACAAAGATGCAATCCTGCGGAAACCAGAACCGACGCGAGGTCATGATCCAAAAGGAGACCAGCGTTGCAAACTGCCAGGCCAGGAAGGTTGCCGCAAGCGAGGACAGTGCTTCCATATCGTACGTCCACAATCGTTGTGGGAGCGGGCTAATACATCGCAGGGACTGTATGGCCGTAGGTGAAACTGAAAGCCCGCCAGGGTGCCACCAGAATCTGTGCACCACTGAGGGTAGCATCGTCATCGATGCGTCAGGAAAAACATTAACAACAAAGCGACGCTCGAGTAAGAGCCCGACGGAAGTCGAAGCAAGAAGGAAAGAAAGAGAGAGAGAGAGAGAGAGAGAGAGAGAGAGAGAGATGTCTTTTTTTACCGAGACCCCCACAAGGCCCTTAAACAGGGGCGCGCCATCCGGCGCGGGGAGCCTAGCCTGCTCCCTGTACCCCGGAGAAGAAGAAGAAGAGAGGTACTCGCTCTACCCGCTCCTC